ATTTCATGGATTTTGCAGTTTTATTGCTCCCATTCCGGACCCGTGTGTGCAATGAATGGCATAACGTATGCCTCGGAATGTGTTTCGCTCTCACATGCCGTTCCAGTGGACTACTATTCAAACTGCAATCACACCCACTCTTGCCATCACATCCAGTGCCCACAACAGCCTCTCTGTCCCCAACACTTCCAACACATATTGGACAACAATTGCTGTCCATTCTGTGGATCAGTAGCTAAACTCCAATACGATACCAATGCTATCAATGCCATCGATGGCCAGCAAAAGAGCAATTATGCGGTGACTGTGGAAGAGATGGCAAAACATTTGTCTCATTTGATACGATTGTTTGGCTGCCAGTCCTTCGCCTACTTGGGTATCGACGGCTATATCGTACTAATGGTTAGGCCGACAGCCATAGCGCCAAAGATGTCTCACTTGAATGACTGTCACCGAGAAGTGGTACGAGTGGTGACTCTCGTCAACAATCAGTCGCCTATTATTAGCCTTCAGTTCCCGTTATCTCTACTAATGAGAGGACATGTGAAGCACTTATCGGACACTCCATTGCACTCCGAGTCAAGTGATCACCAAATGATTGCCAATTATATGCATATATTTCTAGTCATTATTTTATTAATAACTTTCAGATTATGATATTTTGTTACAAACTTATAAAAGTATTTTTATGAGAAATAAACGCATTTTTATAATTACTTTTTGTGACCATTTATTAAAATAAATATATATTTTAAATCAAGCTAAAATTAAATATTTGAAGTAAACATTTGTAAGTCGAATAGAGTATAAGTCTTATACTAAATTAAATTTTATAAATTTAAAATAATTTAAACATAACCAGAATTATGTATATTATTTTATTCAAAAATTCATATACAAATGAAGTGAAAGAGCATAAAATGTTTACATTGAAATGCTGTCACCACAAACAACCATGGTGAGGTCAGCTCAGCTCATTTAACCCGACGGCACAAACTTAGTAATACAACCGCCGGTTGTTTGCAAGAGTGCCGGCAATCGAGTGAACAAATCGATTAAAGGCGGGAACAGACCGAAGGGATTAGTTGTGGCCATATCTGCCAATGTCTGCAACTCTGGACACAATGTGTTTGTCGTGCAGTTCACGAAGTCGTCGATTTGTGTCGTAGGGATCATACACTGGTTGAGGGGACAGGGAGTGGACAGCAGTTGTCTCAATTGAGTGCAATTGACGGCCAGTTTTGGATTAAATATCTGTCCGAAAATTATGAAGAACTGATCCGTGGCTTAGACGGGAAGAGAGGTCAGACATGTGAGGAATTGTGCGGCGCACTGGTCACCAGCTGTCTGTCTCTTGGATACCAACACCTCCCTGTCCACCGACGGGTCCACTAAATGTATGGCTAGTATGACATTAATAGCCGCAAACAGTATTAAATGCTTCATAAAGTTAGCCATTTAGTGGTGTTTTATTAATTGTCTCTAAATTGAAAATAAAAATACTTATTAATATTAAAAGC